TCTATGACCGATCTTAGGCTTGTGAGAAAATACAACTTCGTATCTCCATCCCTCTCTGCTCGTGTTGTATCTTGTTCTTGTCATCGAAAAAAAAAAGAAGAAAAAGAGAAAGAGAAAGAATTTTTTTTTGATCGTTCGAATACAATTTTTTACGTCACGTTACGTCGACGTAAAATGATGGAAGACATTCCGTCGAATTATTCGTTTGTAAAAAAAAAGATCTTATTTCATGTTTAACATCGCCCTCCATGTACGTAATCTCATTTTAATCTCGAATATACGATGTAAGAATATATTTAATTACAAGACGAAAATTATTTTATTCAAATTTGTCGTCAAATCTTACTTTTCATCGATTTTATAATCTGTTTGTAAAAATCTGGAAGAATTTATATTTTTAACGAGACACACAACAAAAATATAAATAAATTATTCAGATAGTTAGGATAATAATAAGAATATAGCTGATCGTTCGTCTCATAAGAATCTCTCTTTTTGTAATTTCGATTTATCACAAAAAAAAAAAAATAAAAATAGAGAGAAAAGAAAAATCTAAATGAAAAGCACCGGTTGCCCATAGATCTCGGTTATGCAGTCTCATAGAATATCTTATATCGACTTTCATCGCCAACTCGTCGTCATGCCGCTTCTATTTATTATATATATATATATATATATATATATATATATATATATTACGTATATATATTTCTTCGTCGCTTAGTTTCATTTGGACAATCGATAGAAGTTGAGTCGGATCGTAGGAATCGACTAATCTTTCGATTCACGCGAGCCAAGGACGTATAACTGCTTCTGAAAGGCAACCTCGATGACTACTAAAGGACTATTCCTGACTTGCCACCACCATCACATTTACAATCGTTAGTACGAAGCACGAAGCAGCCACCTCGGAAATCGTTTAACGTAATTACGGCTCTTGTGTCACGAGACCGTTCTTTACCATTCACGGTCCCGTCTCGACAAATGTTATCCCGTTTATTCTCTTTTCTTTTCTTTTTTTCTTTTTTCTTCTTTATTTATTTTTCTTTTTTCTTTTTTTCTTTTTTTTCGGAAGCGTCAAAAGGTATCCTCGGTAAGCAGACCGGTGCGAACTTGATGGATATTTCCTCGATGACTCTCTGACATTCCTACGAACGTGTCTAATTCGTGTCCGACCATCTATGATAAATATTTTTCTCTTTCTCAGCTTTAAGAAATTTCTCATTATAAATCTCGAATAAGGATCAATAATAAATAGATATATTTAAGGATTATAATCGTTCATATTGAATCTGAAGATTGCATCTTTGGTACGATCAATTACCTTACGAATTATCTGTCTATCAATGATCGTAAATAAGAAGAAGAAGAAAAAAACTGCTCGACGATAGGATACGTACGACACGTTCGTCGAAATTCAAACGGTTTATGTCGACGAATGAACGTGTAAAAAAAAGAAGAAAGAAAAAACAGAGTGAGAAAGAGAGAGAGAGAGAGAGAGAGAAAGAGAAGTTTTTTTGATGCAAGATAAAAGACAAGCAACGTGACTACCGGTACCGTCCTTATGGAAGAGCTTCATTAGCGGACTTTAATTATACGACGAGCAAGATCGTTGTCGCACAGTGGATAATATCCGGACGAATAGATCTCCGCTTGGTTCAGACCTTCGGCCTGATAGCGGAGCGGATCGTTCATCATCCTCCTAGCAATTATCGTAATTAATATCGCCGTGGTGTGTCGGCTTATACACGGATACGTACCATGACTCGCTTAGATTTTTAACTCGATTCGCCGGATATCGTTTTTCGCAGCTGAGAAACGACGACGCATAATCGCTTGATTCAATGAATCCTGTCGTCGATTTAATCATCGTGAACGACGAGCCCCAATGTACTCTTCATTAAATCGTAACATTTCTCACGAAAACTTTTACTCTCCGTTGATAATTCTGATTGATATCTTTTTTCTCTCTCTCTCTCTTTCTTTTTTTCTTTCTTTCTTTCTTTCTTTTTCACCTGTTTCCAATTGAGATAATTAATACCTTATTTAATAATATTAAGAAAAAGTACGATACTGTGATACCGTAAATTAAAACGATGCTCAAAGTTTGAATGAATGTTATTATGAAGAAAAGAAAAGAAAAGAAAAGAAAAGAAAAGAGAACAAAAAAAAAAAGCAAGAAAGAAAACAAAACCAGTAGTAATATCTAAAGTGAAAGCGAAAGTAAATGAGAACGATTAATGTTACACATCGCTCTCCCTTTCTCTCTCTCTCTCTCTCTCTCTCTCTCTCTCTCTTCCTTTCTCTCTTCGAATTAGACTAATCTCTCCCTCTCCTTTCTCTCGTAGCGAAGCTTGAACACCTTATCTACGCAAAATATCAACGACGGCGCACGTTTCTAAGCCTTCTAATCAAGACGTATCCTCTTCGTGACCAGCTAGCTCCTCGAGCTCCTCGAGAGTTTCGACGATATCCAAGAACGTCATTACCGTTCGTAGCTAAGAGAGCTCGGTGATCGTTAAGCTCGCTTTGTCCGCGAGTTCAGGGGAATTGGTAAAGCAATAACATTAATCCAGGACATCGCCGTGGTGCTAGAGAGAAAAAGAGAGAGAGAGAGAGAGAGAGAGAGAGAGAGAGAGAAAGATGCGGTGCTTCCTCTCGTGGTCTCTCGTAGCTTTCTCGTCCTCGTGCAGACCTCGAAGAGTAATCCCTGGTGGTCGAGATCCTGGATGTCCGTATAAAGCAGTCCCGTGGAATGGACTTGGAACTTGCTAACCTCCTCACCTCTTCTCCTCTCGTTCTCTTGGTCACGAGCTGTCTTGGTTCTGTCGCGGTTGCTCCCTAGACGGGATGCGGTCTGGACGCTGGGTAGACCCTTGTACCGGACCGTCTGTAATTTTAATAAGCCGTATTACGAGCTCTCCTACCTACGGAAACAACTTCCTTTCGTATATAACGGCCGAGTATTTGCCGAGTAGACCCACCCTTTCTCTAATTCTACTCTATATCTGTCTCTATCTATCTAATCTATTTATCTCTGTCGCTCTTATCTCTTTCTTTCTCTTTCTCTTACCGTTGATCAACCTGAACACCGAGATAAGCCTCTATTTGTCTATCTATATCTTTTTTTACTTTTATCCAGCTTTCTAGACATAACTAATAATCTCATGTTCGTTATAACGAGGAGTCGAGTGCACGTGATCATGATTAAGGTTTTAACTATAACCAATTAAATTATCTAGATCACATTTGATACAGTATAATGCAAAACTTTTCAGACGACGTTACGAAATAAATATGATATTTCTTAAATATCACCGAGGGATCCCCGTATAACGTTTAGATGTGTTACTTTAAATGAATTCCCAACATCAGTAGCCGTCATCTTGGCCATCTCTCTAGAGAGAAAGAGAGAAAAAAAGAGAAAGGGTGAGAAAGAGAGAGAGAGAGAGAGAGAGAGAGAGAAAGTTATTCGAAGATTAAACGGGGGCAATCTGTGGCGCTCTTTTCTTTTCGCTTCTTTTTTTTCTTGTCTTTCTTTCTTCTTTTTTCTTTTTTCTTCTTTCTCCCAAACGACCAGATTTTTATGCCTAATTAATCGCCATAAATCCGAGGGAACGCCGCTGGATTACGGTGAAATTTGCGCTTACCGTCTCTCCCGAGGGGTGATTCAATGATTTGTAGATGCACGGGGTGAGATCCTTCGCTCCTCGTAATTCGCCTTAAGCGTGCGCGATCTTCCACGTTGATTGAACGCATTAAAAGCCATCACTTTCTCGTCTAATCTTCGAGAAGGAAGAGAAAAAGGAGGAAAGAAGCAACAAAAACAAAAACAAAAACAAAAAAAGACAACAAAAACAAAAAAATCAAAAACGAAAAAGACAAAATAAAAGAAATGCAAAGGCGACTAAGAAAAAAAGAACAAAAATAAAAAAAAGGAATATATTAATTTTATGGAAAATTTCAATCTAACAAAGAATTTTTCGAATATTCTTTCTCCTCCTCTTTTCTCATTTAATTTTATCGAATATTCCTCATTGTTAGTTGATTTTCTCTTTTCCTTTTCTTTTTTCTTTCCCTTTTTTTTTCATTCTTTTTCTTTTAGAAAAAAAAAAAAAAACATTATTTCTCGCTCGATCGAAAGTACCTCGTTCTACTTTTTCCATTAGCATTTATCGAGTCCTCGGAAAAGTACGAAAAATCTGGCAGAGGAAGAGAAGTAAAAGTAAACGTAGTAGTGTTAGTGATAGCAGCAGTAGTAGTATCAGCATCAGAAGCAGAAGCAGCAGCAGCAGCAGCAGCAACAGCAGTACGGCCAGAAACAAAATGCAGAAGCTCAAAGTTATCCGCGAAGTTTCGAGTGCAGAGGCAGTTGATTTATCGGGCTCATTACTGCCAGGAAAGAGGGAGGACTACAGGAATGGAGCCACCCCAACGGCGTGTTTTACAAGACGGCATTAATTGCTCGAATTAAATATGCACCTCTCTCCGCGTCGTAATTTATTTCGGTTTCCTTAAGCACTTTAAGTCGTCGGGAACTCGACCGAGTATACGCCGCCCATCGCCGAAGCTTTCCACGAACGTTAATAATGAGTATGCGGGATATTAATTGACGTTGCTCGCGAACGGTCCTTTAAAGCCGTTCTAACCTGGTTAGAACGATTTTCCGTTGATCGTAAGCATGGGAATAGACCAATCGTATGTACATATATACATTTTTAGATATATAGGTATAACGTGGTTATGGACTTGACGTGAATGATCATTCTAATTAACACTTTCTCAATTGACGTATTAATACGTTCTATAATATGTACTATTAACATCGATTTGCCTCATTTCACTTTTTCATATTTCTATAAAGAAAAAGAAAAGTACGTAAAGAAGGAAGCGAAAAGAAAAAGAAAGATTCGAAATAATACGTAAATGTATATTTATTCCTACGTGTAATTAATTATTGATAAAGTTATACCGTAATTATTATTATTATATCGTTACAGGAATGCTTTGGACGAAGAATGTCGCGCTCAGAAAGCGCTTAATCTACTTGAAGCTCGTGATCGTCGTATAGCTTTCCTCGAAAAAAGAGTTGCTGAATTAGAGAAAGCGGCTATTGGCATGCATACAATAAGTTTGCACGCATCCTCGACACTATCCAGTTTGGACGATCCAACGAACAAGGATGCGTTTTATAGTATCACTCAGAGCGAACAATCGATGAAACTCGAGAACGATTATAAGAATCTTGATTCGTCGAGTATCGAACAGGATCATCAAGCTTACGATAAAATTCAAAGATTTTCAATTGATCGAACGATGGTACCTAATTTAAAATTATCGTCGAGAACGTCCAATAAAGAAATATTCTCGACGACTGCTTTGGATATGACGTATCAAAAAACATCGAATTACCAATACGTTGGTAGTTCTGATATTAGTACGAACGAAATGAAAAGTCAATCTATCAGCGAAACCATTCGCGATTACGGGAATGATAAGTCTCCGATCGTAGATAAAAGATCGACGTTTATTTCTAACATAGACAGTGAAAAAAGATCCTTGAAAAAAGACGAATCGAAGTTTCACTGTCGAAAGAACGAAGAGATAACGTACATGATGCTTCCGAAAAGTAGAAACTGCAATACGGGTTTTCCCTCCAGAGTGTCTTCGAGCGTGGCTTGGATACGAACGAAGCGGAACTTCCGCAAGAAGATTCGACCCTTCGCTGCTAGGGTGAGGAGACAGCAAAAAGGCGATCAGCGAGCGGAGAAAATCGACGTTTCGTCGTTTCAGTGAGTACACTGGAAATCTTCTTCCTTACTTTGCGAAATCAACACAGAAATGGTCATGTACTTTTTTATTCTTTTTTTTTTTTCAAATAAACGACTTACAAATTAGTCTTATTTTTTTGTTTTGTTTTTTGCTTACTCCTCTATGGGCCCGTGTAACTTTCAGGTCACATTTTAATTTATCGAGATTTTACCAAATAATTATAGCTTTTTTCATGAGATCGCGCATAAATCTTAATTCAATTTTTTTGGATTTAAAACAAAAATTCGGCTCATAGAGGGTTAAAAAATCAAAATCATAAGTATGAGGGAAGAGTGGGAAAAACTTTTTGATTTAATCTCGACGATTTATGTGTACAAAAATCGTGTCTATCATCTTACAATATCCTTTATATAACATTAATACGATCTAAAATATAAGGCGCACAAGTTACGGATCTCGATTTTCGATCGATCATCTCTTAGTGAGTGAAAACGCGATATTTTTCTCTCTATCTTTCTCTCTCTCTCTCTCTCTCTTTCTATATACTTACATATCTCGAAACGATACGGTTCCGCGTTCATCATCTCGGTGCACGTCAAAATGGCGATCGTTTAACTGGTAAAGTAGAGGATGCCAAGTAGAATATCAGGTCCACCGGCACGTACCAGTTGGATTTTTCCAAGTTCGGCGAGTAGCGTAACGCTTGGTGCTCGGTTGAACGTGAAAATGCATGTAATTAGCTGAAATTGATGTTGAACGCGAGCACGGCCGCAATTTTAATCGGCTGTCGTATGATAATTACGCGTGGCAGGCACCCCCCGACCCGTGCCGGATAAATCATCTCTTGCTCCTGCGGCCGGAGCTTCGCATCACGAAGCAAGAGTACTAGAGAGAGAGACAGAGAGAGAGACAGAGAGAGAGAGAGAGAGAGAGACAGATAGACAGACAGACAGACAGACAGATAGAGAGAGAGAGAGAGAGAGAGAGAGAGAGCGAGAAAGAGAAAGAGAAAGAGAAAGAGAGGTTCCCAGGTATTCATTTACTTCGTATTAATCAATGTGTGAAATTGATTACGCCTAGCCTCACCGTAACGAGGGTTGTTGCTTCTCCTAGTATGGCAGTGGGGGGAAGTGAGCGAGGGAGTGAAGGAGTATGGGGCAAAGGGTGGGGGGAGAGAGCGAGAGAGAGACTCAGCGATAGGCCACCGATGCTTGGACGTCACGTGACTGTTACTTCTCACTACTTTCACATTGATTCTCTATGTAATATATTTTTCTATCTTTCAATGAATCCTATCAATAGGTTTTTATAGTTATATATATATATATATATATGTGTGTGTATATAAATGCGATCATATGATCAGTACTATGTTCGTATTAATAGATAAATTTGTATCTTATGATCGTGATAATATGTCACAAAAACAATAGGAAATATACCGTCCCTCTCTAATGCCGGTAGTCGTTCAACGATAAAAATAAGTTCTCCTTCGTGATTTAGATTTTTTTTTCTTTTTCTTTTTCTTTTTATTCTTCTTTTCTTTCCTTTTCTTTTTTTTTATTTTGTTTTGTTTTGTTTTGTTTTGTTTTGTTTTGTTTCATTCTTCTAAGGGACGACGTTCTATACATCGTGTATCGGTCGATAGGTCGAGGCACGACCGAGAAAATTGCATTTCTATTTATTTCTGTCCGTCACGGCACCGTTTCTGTCGCAAGAACGAGTCGAACGAACGATCGGATTATCATTGTCACGACTCTCTCGAAAGGATTCTTCGTAGAATCGTAGAACCTGTCTCGCGACCTCCTTCCTAGTGGTAACCGACGCGGAGTTGACAGACGCGCCACGCCATTTTGCAAAATCGCTTGCTGAGGGAGAACGGTGACGAAACGATTCGACGATTAAAGAGATCGTCCGTAACAATAGGATCGTGACCTTTTGCTCCCTTATACACGGTCCCATTGTGTCTCGCTAAAATACCCGTTCTTAACTAACTCGAGACTGTCGAGCAGCGTCCTCCGAACATGAAAATTTCACAATCGATTTCTCAATTGGACGCCTCGAAATTTTGGCGACGATCAATTTAACGTCAAGATCGTTGTCTTGATCATCGTCAAGCATAGAGGATTACTGCGATCTGTTAATCGATTATGATCAAATATATATATATATATTATAATGACCATTTCAAAACGACCAAATCATTTCAAAATAGTAGTTGTAATGTAGCGAAATTCAGACTTGATCACAAAAAGAAAGAAGAAAAAAGAAACGAGATTAATATGATATTTATAAAAAAAAAAAAAAAAAAAAATAAAAATATGACTTCAACGTTCCATGAAAAAAAAACGAGGAACGATTTCTAAAAAAAAAGAAAAGAAAAAGGAAAAACTCAAACAAAATTAAAAAAAAAAAAAGAAACAAATAATGACTGAAGAAGCAATTCTCACGAACGAATGATTTATCAGGATCGGAGTATCGAAAACGAGTAAGATCGAGCTCCGATCAGTGACCTTCGACCTCGCGTCGATCTTCTGTACCTATATATCTTCCTCTCTCTTTCTCTATCTCTCCCCCTCCCCCGTTTAGAATCGTTTCGATCGAGCACTAGGAAGGATCTGCTCTTTGACACGCATAGTTAGACGAATCGATGCGTTTCGTCGAACTTCGAAGAGAACGATTTAGCTCGTACGATCGCACGAGCAGAGAAATACGCCGCCGCTAATGGAATCAATTAGGTGTGGATTAATATTGACAGATTTATTGACTTGCCTTTTGTGCGCGTCACAGCGGCCCGATTACACAGTTCGGTCCGATTTATAACCGAAAACCGTGCCCGCTACCGCAACCATGTTAAACGTAATGTCGATCCATGAATACTCAAACGCAAAACCTATAAAAAAACACATCCACACGCAAACACACACGCACACACGTATAAGCAAATCTATACCCACACACATATCTACTACTATCTACACTACACACACGCATATTTGTGTATTAATATTTCACTTAGATAATATATATATATATATATATATATATATATACACACACTCACATATATATATATATATTATCATACATATATATCATACATATACATCATACATATATATATATATATATATATTATTATATATATATATAATATATATATATATTATCGTCGAGAACCATAGGAAAATAAAGACGATCTACGTAAAGATTAAGGTCGAATCCTGAAAAGTCAGAAAAGAAGTAGAAAAAAAAAATAATAAAAAGGATATAAAGGATCGTCTCCTTCCTTAAAGTTAACTACTGAAAATGGAAACGTCGTTACGACAAGACCCGTTAATAAAGGCAACGTCCAAACGTACACGACGGTACTCTCTTATAGAGAGCGAACGTCGATATACACGGGGCGCGTCGTTTGCGTAATTCGTAATTGCGTACGCGAAACTGTCGGTTTATGAAATTAACGAGGGGAACCATTAAATTTAACGATCGTTGACTCGCGGTGTCCACCATGTGCAGAGGTAGTCGAACGGCTTGCTACGATCCTGTTAGCTGCTACCACGACTTTCTCTCTCTCTCTCTCTCTCTTTCTCTCTCTCTTTCTCTCTTTTTCTCTTTCTCTCTTTCTCCCTTCTATCTTCTTCTCTGTCTATCATTCTCTCTTCTTTTCTCTCTCTTTCTTTTTCTCTGTCTTTTATCCCGTTTCATTGTTTCTCTCTCTCTCTCTCTCCCTTTTTTCTTTTTCTCTTGGTCTCATTCTTTACCTTTCTCTCTCTCTCTCTCTCTCTCTCTCTCTCTCTCTTTCTCTCTCTTTTTTCCTTTCTTTTTCGTGCAGGCGAATTCATCGCGTCCAATTAGTTGGATCACGGTGACACCGTGGCGGACATTAAAAGAGAGAGGTAACCGATAGACGCGGACAGAGAGTGACGAACCTAACGGGGTATCCGTGCGAGGCACGTCCGGCATCTCCGATGGTAGAGAGAGGGGACCTCTCTCTCTCTCTTTCTTTTTCTTTCTTTTCTCATCCAATAATCGGTGATTCCTTTCTTTCGACACGGTGACCATGCTTGAAATCGGATCGTCGGACCTCCAATTAAAGTCCGACGACAATCGAATGTCTTGCCGAAGAACTTGCTCCGATCCCCCTCGTGGGCGGCCTTTTTGAATAAATGCAAATTCTTACGGTCGAAGTTATTTTCTCTATCTCTCTCTTTCTCTCTCTCTCTCTCTCTCTCTATATATATATATATATATATCCATCTTTTTTTATGCTTAAAAAGTTCAAGCATTACGATAAAATGCCGAGTACTTTCTTATTAATATTAAAACTAATAATAAATTGTATGATTATCTTCAGAATTATATGATTCTTTCTTAAGAACAGAAATTATTGAAAGGACTATTGCTTTCTTTTTTCAACATTTATCTCCTTCTAATATAGATTTCAAGAAGTAAAACGTTATAGATAATATCTAATAAGTAATGGTGATTAAAATCGATACCTCACGATAAAAGTTGACACGTTAAAGTATAAACCAACAAACTTTATATTTAATTACGCATATAGAAACGTTTAAGAGCCGATGGAAAATAAATGGATGGACGTAATGGAATACATATCTCAAAATTTTCGAAACGTATCTTCGATATATAACGAGATATACGTAAATGTCTCCGATTATAAAAACACCGTTGTACGTAAGTATTACAAATGCTAACCTACCAATACAATTAATAAACTCTTAAAACGAGAAATGAAAATGTGTAACCAAATGAAAAAAGGAAAGAGCCATACAAAAAAGAAGAAAAAGAAAGGAAATAGGAAAAGAAAAAAAGAAGAAGGAAGAGAAAATTGACAAAAAAAAAGAAAAAAATGAAAACGTTAGAGATTTTTACGAGGTAGCATCGATCGCGATCTAACGCTTCGCTGGGTAAGATCATCGTCGAAGTTCGCGATCTTTAGAGAAGTCGTCGAACGCCGGAAGCCGACGAATCAAAAGGGAGGACGAGGTCGTTATCT